TTCCTGATCTAGATCTACAATCTGAAAGATAAGGGGTATTGTGGAAAATCATTACAAAGTACTCTAGTTTTCAAAGGTTCCCAAGTCAAAACATAGAATATGTACCCCAAAAAAGACAATACAAAACCAATGTATTAGGAGAATTTTTAATTATTTAAATTTCCACTTAGGATATTTTAAATTTAGATTTAGGATTTTTATTTTAAAATTTTAAAGCAGTCAGAAGCCTAATCTACTTTGGAATTTTTAATGAGTACAGAAGAAAAAAACTGAATGAATCTTGAAGGCACTAACAGAGAATTTTAAAGCAAGAATCTAGACATAGATATGAAAGGGAGAGAGAGAAAGGGGTTAAAAAAGAATTAAGAAACGTCATGTATATGCACTCACTCTCCACAATGAATGTAATTGTTATTATAAACATGTACGAGTTTAAAAATATACTCCTCTATCAAAAAGAAGACAATCTAACAATGTCACATTTTAATTCCCATAGTTACCCAAATCCATAAGCAATCTGACTTTTGCATTAAAGGGGAAATTGACAAATTTGTTTAAAACTAATCCAGCAACAGATACTTATTTGATTTTATATACATAAAACTGGATGCTTTATATTGATAAAGTCACTATGTTCACTGGTAATTTTCAGTTCAGCATGCAGTTTGCTAAATAAAATCATTACATCTTAAGGATTATGAAGGATCTTAGAAACATTTAGCCCAGTTCTCTTAAATTTGTGTGAATTCCTATAGGAATGCTTATTAAACACGATTTCTGAGTCAGATATGGTGGTGTGCATCTGCAATCCCAGCACTCTGAAAGGCTGAGGCAAGAGGATTGTAAATTTAAAGCCCAACAAAAGTAACTTAATGAGACCCTATCTCTTTTAAAACAAAATGCAGAGTCTGGCTCGGTGGTGAGACTGAATTTCTTGCCCATTCCACATGACGTTGAGGCATCTCTCACATGGGACAACCAGAGATGCCAGGACTCGCACAGGACCCCGGTGAGACAGCTTGAGAAGGTGCCACCTTAGGTAAAATCATTTAGGTTTCACTGGTAGCTCACAAGATTTGGAAGAACTAGTACCAAGGTGTTCCCAATTGTCTATCTGAAAAATACAGTTTTTCAACCCAAGTGTAGACATTTACAGTCATTGCTATTTAATGTCATCTTTCTGCCTTGAGCCTTTCATCTCTCGGGTCACTTAAAAAATATCAGATCAAATCAGAAATATTTTCAAAAAATATTTTCATGCAAATCCTTTTTAAAGTGTTTTATATAATAGTGTGTGACACAATACTTTAAGAAATAATACATGCGCACTTGAAAAAATAATCATAAAACAGAACCTCATTGGCAATACTGTCTCAGTTGAGAAATAAAATATTTCAGGACCTCGGAAGTAAGCCCTCCTTTCTCCTCACATCTCCGTCACTTCTGGAGATAACCATTAACTGGTATTTGGTGATACACTCTCAATTTTCTTTGTAGTTTTGCCGTCTATGTATATACCCCCAAACAATGTATATAGTTTCATGTGCTTTTGGACTTTCCTTGAATAGAATCCTACAGTGTATGTTCCTCTGTGCCTTGGTTTTATCATCTGACACTATGTTCAGAAGATGCACCCATTTTGAAGCATGTTATTGGTTTAAGAAACACACCACATGCATTATACTCCTGCTACTCTCCTAAGCATGTCACAAATATCAGCCCATTTAATCCTCCTGATAGTTGGATCAGGCAGAAACTATAGATTTTCTTGATGCACAGATTTGGAAGCTCAGCTTAATAAATAGGTGCCAGGTCATACCACTTATTAGTGGCAGAGACAAAATTTTAACTCACAAAATCCTTGCTCTTAAATACCAAGCAATCCATGTACTATATATTCGTTGTATATACATCTCAGGAAAAGATAGTATGATTTTTTAAACTGCGTTATCCTCGTAGAGGAGAGCCCAGAGATGTCATATAATCACAGAAAACCCACTATACTACTGGTCCTTAGAGAAGACATTGAAAATGCATGTACAGCAGTCTCAATGACCAACATTACCCAAGCAGTTTGCCATACTAATAAATGTCTGAAAGCTAATGGCCACCACTTTGACCACTTCTTGTAATTGTAGAGGCCAAAGTTAAGTTGTATGAATCTCACGGGGCCTCAATGAATTTAGTATTAAAATACTTACACAAGTTTTTCTTTGCCTGAAGTGTGTCTGTATTTTTTGGGCAGACTCTCTACAGAATATAATTCATTTTTCCCTACAAATAGTACTCCAGTATCCCAGTAAATAAACAGAACAAAATGTACTAATTCAAAATAATTTTGATGTGTGTTTGGGTGTTTTCCAAGGTTTTTACTGAACATGCTTCTTTAACATTTTTGTTCATGTTTCTAGAAACCCATAGGTAAGAATCCTCTACAAGAGCAAACCCTTGATATATTACTGATTTGCTCAAGAAGTAATTTTCGAATAAAAGAACTTCAGAGTCAAAATAAAACTCATATATTAGGAAACTGCAAATAAAAACGTATCTGAAAGTGTAGTTCAGGGACAGGTTACAGGGAGTTTTAAATGTCACACTGAGAAGCCTGAACTTTTTCTGTGGGTATTGATAAACCACAGATGATTTTTAAAGCGGTGAGACATTAAGTTCATTCAATCATTTACTGAGTATCCCTTAGTGCCGAATATGTCTAAGCACTGGCAACAAAAGGTAAAAAGAGTAACAGAGAGGTGCACTTAAAAATAAAGAGAGGTCCTTTTAATAAAAAGTCCAGAATGCTAAGAAGATGGAAGGAGATAAGAAAAAAAAAAAAAAAAAAGCTACTGAAAACAAAGCGTGAAAGACACAAGACTGACACAAACCAAAAAATAGCTACTAAAATTCCATGTGCTTCCCTGTAAAGGATTTATTTCCCAAACCAAGCGAGAAAGGTGCAAAAGCCTTTGGCTGACACAACTAGAAAGCAAAAGTCAAAGGAACATTTTAAAGGCGAAATGTCCAGAATGAAAATCCTGTAAAAGTAAAGATGCATACTGTTCTATTATGGTCTAGAAATTCAGTTGCTACAGAATGCAAAATAAAAGCTCTCGGATAAGACTAGTGGGGTACAGAGCTCTAATGGTCTGGCCAAATTGCAGGAAAAACAAACCAAAACTAAACAAAGAAACAGTCCTAGCATACCATGTGAACAGGCTACAAAGTGCTAACAGACACCTGAGCCCCGAGGGTGCTCAGGGCTGCCAGAGGCAGCTCCTCTGCTGTTGAAAGGAGGTAGCACACTTTTTCCTGTGACGGCTGCTCCTGTCCACTCAGCTGTTTCCTCTGACTCGTGTTTTCTGTAAACCCTCCTCTCGGAATCCTTTGACAATGACTCACATTGCAATAAGGCTACTCAGCAATACCACAGCCCTCCACAATAGATGTTGTGTAGGAGGCAGGCAGCCTGGTGGACTCTAGTGGGGACTAGTTTTTTCCTTTCTGCATTCTGGGAGGATCTGCTTTTCAGCCACATTTCCCTCAAAACACAGTCCTGGCAGCAGACGCTTAGGACATAGATTTCTAAACGATGAAATGATCCGAGTTTGGCTCCTTGATCATAATGAAACTAAAAACAGTAAAATGAAAAATAAGGGCATCGTCACACGTACAAAACACACACACACAACTTTATACTGGGGTGAAATTAAGAGATCAGAAAGTAAAAAAGCTCAAACTAATATTTTCCAACCTTTCACTAAGAGCGAGGACTAAAACCACATGTTTTGAAGGTCTTGCACTTTGTTATTATTAGAAGTCACAATTCTATTGATACTGATGAGTCATTCATATCAGCGGAAACCAAGAACTTCCATCAACATCATGTTGCACCCAGTTACTGCGGCTTTTTCTTTATTACTGGTCAAAGCTGCTGTAGAGTGCTTATCAAAGCTACAGGGGAAAATAAAAAGGAAAGAAAGCAGAAGAATCCTTTGGTGTGCGCAAAGCTTTCCTTTCTCTAGCTGAGTTTATCTTAATCAAATTTCTTCAGAGATTTTTTAGGATAATTTGAGCAATTTGTGTCTACAGAAGGAAGTTTATGTAGAAACCTCAAAAAAGCACATTTCACACTTTCCGATGAAAATAAGTGGCATTGAACTCTGAAAACAAACAGTGAAACCATCTCAGAAAGTATTCGGTGTCTTAAATAACTGGAGGTTAGGTACTGCTTTTGCTTTTTGTTTTTCTTAACCTTAACTACGTGTAACCCATACAAACAGAAGCTACCCGCTCTCAGGGACTGGAGACTAGTCACTCCCACTCTCTGCCCCCCTCCCTACTCAGGGCACGCTGCTTCCCACAGGCAAAGTGGGTCAGGTTTCAGCGACCTCCAGAAAGCCCAAACGGAAGGTTTACGGAAGGACTTCGGGTCTAAGGGGATAAGAGCACATTCTCTTTCCTTTTGTGTCAGTCGTTTTCCTCTTAAAAATTCCCATAAAATACAACTAAGAAAATCACTTTTCCTAAGGCATTTACAGAAATTCTTTGTGCAGCCCCTACAAAGGCAGAAATTTGTCCAACTTTTTATCCTGCAGCCAGAACGCTGTGCTCAGCTACATAGAGAAGAAGGTACCCAGCTCAACAGCGACTACAGAAATGAAAATACCTCTCGCCACCAATCCAGCCAGTGCTCTCAAGGATGGTACTGCCACTGTGGACAGTTTACAGTGCGGCCAGCTGAGCGCTGCAACGGCCACATGAGTCAGCAGGTGCCTGTGGTAGGAAACTGCTGACAAGCTAAAATACTCCTGCATACACAAGGTGCACACACCTACCAGGCAAAAACAAAAACAGGGTACATGCAAATAAACAAACAGGAACCTCTCTACCCCTGCAGTTTCTATTTTCTAAGGTAAGACCAGAAACATAAATAATCTATACCACAATGCAAAAAGAAGTAGCAACTAGTAATAGCGGATAGCAGTAATACATAAACAACTCACTTTCTGTGTGTGGAACAGCTGCATTCAAATCTCATGAGCCAGTTAATTTTAACCGCTTGTAATTTTAACTAGATTTAACAGCTTTTCCTCTCTTCTGAAAAATCAAAATAGTTGCCATCTCGACCACAAGAACTGGTAACAGGCGAGCACAGTTCCTGTTTTTCAGAAGGGACTTACTTTCAAACCCACAATGTCAAATGTTTAACATAAGTGGAAATTAAAAATTCATTGTTCAATGTGGGAGTCTTAAACCTACACACTAATTGGGTCCCACGGACGTTATGCAGAGATCGCACAACACACTCTGTCCTACACATCTTCTATCAATGTCATCTCATTTACTACCAGATCCAAAAACTCAGAGAACTGGTTTGCAACCAGAATACATTTTCTCACAGAAACGGTGCCACACCCATTTGGTAATGTCCTGGGGCAGTCCATGAAGACGTTTATAATTTAAAATATGAGAAACTACATCTTCACTTTTAAAGGAGAAAACCATGCTCTGAGGGGAGCTCTAAACCCAATGAAAGGAAAACCTTTTACCGTGGTGGAGGAAACATCTAATTAGAGAGGAGGAGGAGAACAGTTTTCTAAGTGAGTCTTCTGCACTTCATGTTTAGCTTCACTCTGATTCTTCAATATAGTTTAAAAGGTTAATTTCACTTCAAAGTGCATGGTGTCCTCTTACTTTGGTATGAAGTATCCTGAGAAAATTGTTTATATCTGTCAATGAATACAGAATTTTGTGTGCTTTAAACAACTAATCAACAGTTGGATGACAGAAAAGGGAGTTACAAAGAGGAGTCACTAGAGACAGGCAGACAGAAGAAATGAAATGTGGGAGAAAGGAACTATGAAGACAAAGGAAAATTCAGACTGTCAAGGAGGCTCAACTGACAGTGCTCTTTCACAGAGAGGACTCCGAGATGAGCCACATCGAGAGGAGTGCAGTCCAGCAGACATTTTCACATACTGGCACTAGATGGCGCCATCAACCCAACATAGCATGGTTGCTTGAAGAGTGTTGGGCTGGATGGTAGGGGACGGAAGCTCAGATTGTTCACAATTGGGTGTTTACCAGGCAACAATATCTAAAATAAGCAGCGTTTCATTAGTCAACTTTTCCTAATATCCAAATGTCACCACCATGCTAACAGTATGTGGCATGCCAATTTTGAAATAAATTCATCGACTCGATTTTCATCAGTGAAACTGCAGTAGAGAGGCAAGGTAAGAGCTGCTCTCCCCGCCAAGATTCAATATAAAAGATAACAGAGAATCTCAGAGTCATAGCCACTAACTGATACAAATCCCTATTCCCAGAACAAGTGCATTTTCCCTACGGTTTTGTTTAAATGTCACGTAACTCTCTGCCTTGCTAGATAGGTCTATACTGTATGCTCAAATCCACTGTCTGCCAAGAACAAGGTGACGCTTACTAACAAACGTATTATTAAAAATCATTTGCTCTTTATACTTTTAATATGACTGTGGCTCATATGCTCTTACTTACTTGTCTATATTCTCTGTTCAGGGTTAGGCTAGTAAAGACCCTCTCTTCATTCAAAAATGTACTCTTTTTATCTGGCTAAAACATAAAATTCCATTATTTTTATCTTTAAGGTCTTACTTCTTTGGCTTCATCCCCTATTAATATGCTGATATCTCAGAAAAGTAATATACAAGGTGTGCTCAGTTATTTATATCTTAGTAAAGTTATGCTCCTAAAATCCTTGAGACTGATTTGAGGAGAAGAGGAAAGGAGCTAATTAAGGTACTGAGTGACCAAAAGGCAGCAGAACACAAAGTCAGGAAGAAAGAAGAGAAAAAAGGACCTTAATAAAACTGACAGCAAACTTGCTTTCCTTCTTTGTAATTCAGACAAGGAAAGATCACCATCCCTGCTGGTATCCCCAGAAGGATTCATGAAAAGTAAGGGTTAACTCGCGGTATGTCTACATTTTCTTCTTGCTGAATGGGTAATAATATCTTTCACAGTTAATTTCATTTTTTTTTCAGTTTGACTCTTCAGGGCTTATTCATTTGCATAATATGGAATCTTGAACCCATATAGATATTCTACAAATCAATGCAAGTAATTCTCACACTAAATCAGCAGCTTTAATTTAAGCTCATCATTGTTTGCATAGAAATCTTTATGCACTCATCTGCTTGATTTTTTTAATCACTTAAAACCTCCAACACTGACATACTAAGCATCTCCCCATTTAGCCAGCTCCAAAATCTGAACTAAATGCTGAAAAATATGCATAGTACATTCATACACTTGATCATCTCCCAAGCTGAGCTTCTAACATGTGCTTAATGTTCAAGCAGCTCCTAAGAGTAATGCCTCCTGACTAGAGATGACAACTTGGTGTCCAGCCCAGGCAGAGTGAAGCTGAGTCAGCACTCTGAACAGTGATCCTGCAAACCAAGGTAACTGGGGGCACTGCCAAACTAACTGCCTGGCTGAGTCCTTCAAAATCATTCAACTCTCAGTTGAAAGTTGCAACATGCTAAAATGGCAAGGTAATCTTTTCCTGAAATTGACTAGAATGAGAACAAAGGTTACCTACATGTATTTGTTACTGGTAGCTAACATTTCCAATTAGGAGCTTTAATAGAATTGGTTCCGATTGAAATTCTTCCTCCAGGGTAGAATAGCTACGCTACCTATTAGAGGAATAGTTGCTTTCACGTTTTCCCTCCCCACTGAAACAAGGAAAAAAAAAAGAAAGCCAAAAAGATTTCTTTACCTAACAAGAAAGTTAGAGTCTGAGCTGCAGATAAACACAGGGAACAGAGCCACGGATTAATGTCCTTCCTACCTTTTGCTTTTCCACGTCACCACATCTACTTTCTGATCCCTCAACGATCACTAAAATCTGACGAAATCAATTGTGTCCGTGACAAGAGACACTCAGGTTCCCTGAGAAATTACTTTTTCAGTTTTACTTTTCAGGTGGCTACAACATAACATCCAATAGTTCAGGATGTCCTATATTTACCCTTCCAAGACCTGCTACAGCAGGCTCCAACTTCAAATGAAGGAAAGCAGGAGGCACAGTGTGATGGCTCAGAGGGCAGCTCTAGAATCAGACACTTAGTGTCCAACCCCAATGCAGGCGACCTCACTGCTTCGGCTTCAATGATCACACTTTACTCTGGGTATCTGTAAGGGTTAAGTGACTTCATACGAACAACACACATAGGAAGCTCTCAAGGCTGCTTAGCTATCACTGAAAGAAAAGAAAACTGAGACTGACTCCTGTAATCAACTGATTTTACACAGATACTATCAACATTCCTAAAAAGGTCTTTGTGCTTCCAAAAAAAAGTCTAGATAATCATCCTCAGTTTGCAGATGGAGACCATCCTTGTTCTGGAATAGGTGGGGGCTTCAGACAGAAGCTATATTTACATTTTCACTAAGGTCCTTGGCTAGGTGGCACACACATCAGCCAACTGCAAGGGACTGTCTGTGCAGCTCCTGATCATTCAAATGCTGTCAGAATGACCCTACATTATGTTCAAAGTAAGAATGTTACTTTCATTTTTTCCAACTATGGAAGTTAATAGTACTTTTGGCAATTAGCAATCTGTTTTTATCAAGCTTCAAAGACACAGGTAGATAAATCAATTCTGGACTCTGTATACAGGAATCATTATCTGCTAAAATGGCCCCAGAGGTTATATCATGGCTTACGCAATACTCCAAAGGGCCAAAGATAGTAGTAAATTAATAGGATTTGGCTGCTGGAGGAAAAAAGTAAGCCTCAAATTTCAGACTGGTCCTGAATTAGTCTCATGCCACAGTTCCTCAGGGTTGAGGCCTTCCCCGTCTACTAGCCAGTTAACACCATACCTCCCAATACCCTGTGATACATGGAACAGTTACCCTCTGGAGGAGTTTTAATGAGCTGTTTTCACTGGTTTATGTTGTCTTTCTACTAAAGGCTGCGCTTCCTGAGGGCAGAAACCTGGATTGCATTTGCTTCCCATTAGTGCTGTGGTCACCTGTCACATAAGAAATACTCAATTTACTTGTTCAGTGGATGATTGAGGCATTTGCCTCCGAAGAACAGTATTTCTGGACACCTGGTTCATTCTGCAGCATCTACAAGTCTGCTACTTAGACAAATACAGGCTCAGAAGAAAATAAAAATTTCTAATAATGTGTACATTATTAGAAATGTGTATACTGTGATGCAAGGAAAGTTGCTGAGTTTACACATTTTGCTTTCCTACTTGTGGAATGAGCATTCACTATGCTGGTGTCTCCTAACTTTAAGCTCCAGAGTGAAAATCTAGGCCTTCTGTGGACTGGAATTAGGGAGGATTCCAAGGAAGCTCCTGAGTATCTGCTTTAAAGTGACAGAGGACACAGACAGATGATGGAACGAGGCCTGAGCACTGGGGGGACTTCAACACATCAAGCCCTCTTTGAAGGTACTTGAAGAGATTTTGTAGACAGGCCAGCTAGAGGCTCAGGAACTATGGGAAGAGAATTACAAGCAGGAGGTTCAGGGAGCAGAGGATTCAAAGGCTTGGGAAAGAAGCCCATAGAGGCTGCCACAGGGATGGGAGGGGGCTGGCACCCAAGTGCCTGCTCTCATCATGTCAGCCGCAGCGCACCCTGCAGCCCTCAGGAAAAGAACAAAAAGGTCAGGGAGAAAAATGACACATCTTCGAAGCAAAGGACAATTCATTATCAGGCTGAGGAACAAAAGAGAGTTAAGCAGGGAACTAGTGGTGATTGTGAAGTCACTGGGGAGGCTGAGTGTCATTCTGGCTGCAACACCAGTGAGCAGAATAAACTAGTATGTGAAATGCTTTCAGATTGGGGAGATTTATTATTCTGAAAAAAAAAAACTGTCAAAGAAAAACAAAGGAAAAATACCCACTGACTGTGAAGCAGGGCTAGCAGTAGGACCAGTTTCAATTTACATAGTCTTTAGAAATGACATGGCCCTTGTACAGGACATGATAGAAAGATTCGGAGGACTCTTTCCACTTTAAGGAAGCTAAGCAGCATCCTGATAGTATGATTTCTTTCACTTGTTAGTAGACTGACACTCAAAACTAACAAAAGGGGGAAAAAGGAGAAAAAAATTGAAAGAATATTTGAAAAATAACTTTTCTACTAAGTGCCTGCCAGACCATCTCCCCTCCAAAAAAAGAGTTTAGTTCATAGCAAATTTCAATTTGGACTTGAATAATTTGTAAATATTTACATAGAATTTAAAGACACAACAGCGCCAGATCATATCCTATTATTGATAACACAGAGTTCCTCTCCCTTGGTCCCACAGCTTTGTCAACGCCTTCCCTAACAGGACTACTCTGTCAAAAGCTTCTTAATCTGCTTTACCTTAGAAATTCCAATTTTTGCAACAAGCCCTGACTTCTGAACTCTGAGCGCCTCTGCTATGGTCATATGGCACTGAAGCTTATTCAGTATCCAGATAGGGAGGCACATGAGCAGTCTGTGGCCTAAATTGTGGATGTGGACAAATACATTATACGTTGTATCGTTCCCTGTTCCTATAGGAGGGCAGGTCGGTGTTCTTTGTGTGCAGGTCCTACACCAGGCCAGCCAGTGCAAACTAGCATCACTGACCCCGCGCTGGATTATGTATAGATGGCAGGGAAACAGTCTCCAGACATCACATTCAGACAAAGCTCAGATTAACACCTTCTAATTCTGCAGAACAGGCAGAGGGTTGCTAGTCCACAGGGTTGCTCTGAGAAGTCAATGGGTACATAAAGATAAAGTATACAAGACTGTCTGGTACATGTGGGCATTCAATAAATCAAATCTATTACTTTAGAGGGTGTTCTCAAAGGTAAGACTCACAGAGAAGTCCTCAGACATTGCGTAGATATGTTACCATCTGGTCAGAAACAGCTAAATAGAAGGTGAGTAGCTCAAAAGCAATGGAGTATTTACCTGTAGCAGATCATGCTATGCTCACAATTTTAATTATTCAGTCTTTCATGGTGAATTCTCTGTTAAAAAGAGGTATCAGTTCTTGAGTAAGGCCCAACATTAATTTGGTTTGATTGAGTTCTGTTTCTCTTCAATTTACTCGACAGTTGCAAGCACTCATTTGGTACATACTCTCAAATCATCCATTATGTGACAAGCCTTTAGAAAACAGCTAAATACATAAATATTAAACAATAAGACATTTTATTCACATTCAGTAATAGATAAGCTGTCTGCAGGGCAGCTCTAGCTTGTGTACATGTTTTCACCCAACATTTTAAAAAATTTTTGAGGCAAAATTTTAATAGGAGATTCTACATAAAAACCCAAAGATTTAGCTTGGAAAAACCGAACAATGTGGGAACACAAAGGCAGCATTCCCAGAAGTTCCCGTCCGGAAACAGTGGCCAGAGAGTGAGGCAGTGGAGTGGTTGCCTGCGCCTCCACAACCTTCCCTCTCCTCGCCAGGACCAGATACTTAATTCGTAGGATGCAGTGAAAAATGGAAATGAAGGGCGCTTCGTTCAGGAACGACCACGTATTTCATATAAACAACAGCTGAACATAAACCAGGTGTGAGAGATCCTTCTGAGTGGAACAGAGGAGGCAGCCATGTGTAAATCTTACGGTCACCCCCCAGATCAGAGGTGGTGAACCCAGGGCTCACTGCCACAGTGCACTGTTTCTTATCACTGAAAGCTCTAACAGGTTCATCATCCCTGCCCTGGAAAAACAGCAAGATGTTTATTTACCCACGTACAGTATTCTCCCATTCATTCAACAATCCAGCCAGTATTTTTAGCACCACCCCCTGCCCCTCTGAAATCTGGAGTTCAAAGCTTAGATCAGTGGAGCCGCATACAGTGGAGCTCAAGAGCCACTGGGCCCTCTTCCCTGTTAAGGCTGGATCTGCACCACAGACACTAAGTGAGAGTTAATCCAAGTAAAATTAAACCGCTCCTAACAATACAGATTGGCCTGAGCGCTTTTGTTGGCATGCAGGAGCCTCTATTACAGATTCTGAGGAACAGCTCACAAGTGCTAATGAATAACCAAGTCCTGGGCTGTGCAGACAGTGTGCCCAGAAGTGAAGGGCTGGTCTAGGAGAGATTTGAACGTGAACCTGACCATCTGGCTCTCTGCGACTCACTTTGATCACAAAATGAATTGCAACAAATTGAAGAGCACATGGCTAGAGTTAATTGTCTCATCTGTAATCTGAACCTACTTTTAAGCAGTTATTATTACCCTCTATCAGGTGGAAACGTTTCCTAGCATCACTCCAAAGTGCATTTTCCTGATGAACTGTAATGGATCATTAAATTCCATATCCGAATAACAATACTTTGCACTTATTCAGTGTCTTTCATCTAGGGATTTCAAGGCAGTTTGCAAATAATTAAGCCCCTCACACAGCAGCCAGAGGTGAGTGACTGCAAGGGAATTGCCTGACGATAGTGAGTCAAAGGGCATAATTCAATAGAAAGAGAATAAATGGCTTCCTCCCCGGCACTGGAAGTGAATTAGTGTATCTTATTCTCTTCTCCTTTTCTGCCTCACCCCTCTTCTCTATAGCAGATTCTGACTCGCAACATGCAAAAGATTGAAAAAATAACTAACAAGAGTGTCCCTAATTTAGCTATGCGACCAGACACACACATACATGAGGAAAATGTATCTCTCCATGTAACTGTGGCATACACACTGCCAAATGACATTTTAGTCCACCTGCAGAATAGATATCAGAATTTTACTCAACACATTTATGATTACCAAATAGCAAGCCTGATGCCTTCCAAATTTCACAGTGAAAATACTAACCGAAGTACTTGACTCCGTGGTTGTGGATTCCATTTCTGACACCTGCCGCCCCTCCCCCATTCGAATAACACTCAAGTTTCAGGAATAGAAAACAGGATGGATGCAAGAGGACAATCAATGCATTTTTAAAAGCCCAGAACACTAGGAGGAAAAAAAAAAAAAGCATTGCAGCCGCTCAAAGTTTTGTGGTGAAATTACAAACTCCTGAAAAACTGAATTTATAATGGAAATGCTGACAGACCTTTCATTGGAGCAGTTTGAATGTAACACTGTAATTTAGCAATCTCTCTTACAGACTAAAGCCTAATTCTTACAAGATGTCATTTTGACTCACGTTTATTATTACCTTGCAAGAATGAAAAAATGCCGTTTACTTGTGAGCTGCTGAGAACCGGGGTGGGGCGATCTCACATTTTAGCAAGACGCCCGCCGCCGTCTCACCGAAATAGCCCTCTCCCCGGAGGAGGGGCAGCCTTCACGCTTAGCTTCTTTCATGTCAGCCAGAGCCTTCGCGGCTCGACATGCCTTTCCTACATGTTACATTTTAATGATCTGAGAAAACCGTTATCAGAGTTAACATCTCTAATTTTACTCTAAACAGACAAAAGCAAAAAATCTCATTAGGCATCATCCCTGCCAAGGTTCCCACTAGGCAGGAAAGGATTTTTATCTAAAGTAATTACCCTTTTTAGTTAAATACACTCAACAGATGAAATTTACAGAGTGAGAGACCGCAGCCCTAGACAGCGAAGGTGAAAGCCGAGGAACGCGGCGTCTCGCCACCCGCGGGTACGGCAGCATCTGCAGCGCCGTCTCGAGGGGGGACACCCTCGCCCCTCTGCCCCGGCGGTGGCGGTCACGGTGGCGGCGACCCGGGCGAGCCGGCTTCCAGCTACACCTTCCCCGCCACAGGCAAACCCACTCGGACAGCGGCCGCGCGGGAACTTCCCTCAAGTTGCCAAACTGGCCTCCACGCCAGAGGATGCTGGGGTTCCCGCACAGCCGTGAACCCCGAAGCCAGGGTCCTAGAGGCGTCCAGACACAGACCCCTGGTCCTGCCCGCCTCCTCTGGAGGTCCAAGTTCCTCCAAATCCTCGGCCGGCCAGCGGTCGCCGAGCTGTTCGGTGGTCCCCTCTCGTGGGCATCAGGGGAAGTCTCTGAGCGCCCCTCCGCCCTCTCCCGACGCTCCACAGCACCCACTGGGTGCGGGGACTGCGCCCCGCCGGCGTGGGCAGTGAAGTGTCCCCTGGCAAACGCCTGTGTCTCCGGCGGGGCTCCCGCCCGGGATGGAGCGCACCGGTGTGGGTGTTGCTCTGTGACTTTACGCAGGACCCTGGGAGCCGGGGTGCCAGTGTCCCCTCGGAAGCGGCCAGCTCCCGGGCTGGGCTCGGCGGGACGCAGTCCGGCCGCTGGCCGCGGGGTGTGCAGCGCGGGGCCCCCAGCCGCCTTCTAGGGCTGCAAACTTGAGCTCCGCTCGCCTCCCTGCCCCGGCGGTCCGGGCCACCCGGCGGCCGCTGACAGCTGAGCGCACGGCGCGGCGGGCGGGCTCCGCGGGGCAGCCCTGGGCGCGGGCGCTGCGGGCGGACGCGGGCGGCGGGGCCTGCGCGGGCGGCGGGGAGCGGGGCCGGGGCCGGGGCCGGGGCCGGGGCCGGGGGCAGGGCCGGCTCTGACAGCGCTCGGCTCCGCTCCGCTCCGCGCGCGCGGCCGCGCCTCCTGCGCCCGCCTCCCGCCGACTTCTCGCCCCGCGCGCCGCCTCCCTCCGCTCCAAACACCCAGCGACGCCAGCAAAACACAATGCCGCGGCGCCGCGTAAACAGCCGGGCGGGCGGGCGGAGGAGCGCAACCCCGGCGCTGCCACCCGGCCGCTCCCGAAAGCCGCCAAGCCGGCGGGGCCGGGCCCGGGCGCGCGGCCGCCTCCCCTCGCCCCCCCACCCCGGCGCGCCCCGCAAACTTGCCCCGCGCCCCGCCCGGCGCGGCCCGGCCCGGACTCACCTCGCCGGGAACTTGGCGTCCTCCTCCGCCTCCTGCGCGCGGCTCCCGGCCGCAGCCCCCTCCCGGCGGCGGCGCGGTGGGCGGTTCGGGGGTCACCGAGAGCTGGCGGAGGGGACGCGGATCACATGGCAGCCGGTTCCCAGCCCCTGGGTGCGCGGGGGAGGGGAGGAGCCCGGGAGCGCGGGCGGGCGGGCGGCGGGCGGCGGGGGGCGCGGGGCTCGCCTCGCCTGCGGCGACCCTGCAGCCCGAGAGTGCGCGGCCGCGCTGCAGCTGAGGCGGCGGCGGCGGCTCGGCTCGCTGTGTCTGCTCCGCGCCGCGCGGCTCGCGCCCTCCGGAACGCCCACACTCTCAATCGCTACATTGTTGACATTCGGCGCTGACGTCACCCGCTCCCCATTCACAATAACTTTACGGGGCCGGGGCAGCGCACCTCCCGGCCGCTGGGGCGCCGTACGCCGGCTCCGAGCGCGAGCGCAGCCCGGGTGGGGGCGCGCTCGGCCGGATCGCGGGAGGGGCCGACCCCCCGCCTCGCGTCTCCCCGCTTTGTGCGGCCGCGCGTTCGGCAGGGCCCGCGCTGCCCGGCCCCGCTGACCGCCCGCTTGGGCCTGGCCGCGCAGGTCTTGTGAGGCGAGGCTTGCGGGCTAGTGGGGTTAGGGGTGGGCAGAGCCGGTGCGGTGCACGCGGAGGGTGCCAGAGCCTGGGCACTACCCGCAGGGACAGACACCAGACCTCCAGCCTGGGATTCCAGGCTGTCCACCCGGTCCCTGGAGGGACAGAAAAAGATGCTCCGCGGGCCCCCTCTGTGGTGGTGGACAGCGGGAGAGCTGCCCCCTACCCAAGCTGTTTGAATCCTTTTCTTGCAGCCCCTTGGCCTGCCCCCACTGAGCGAGCCTTGAACCCTCCTGCTAGGGTTTTGGAAAGAGCTGGATTTATTGCTAAGCCTCAGTTTAAAGCCTCCCCCAGCTCCTTTGCGTAGCGGCCACTTTTACCTGCCTTCCACTGTGGGGTGATGTTGCTGCCCCTTAAGACCATAATGTGGCTGCCCTGTCAGAAGAAAACTTGGTGGTGGTTAGGGCTTTAAGAGAGCAATTAGGACTTAGGCTGAATGTACATTTGCAATAAAATAAGATTGTGTTAGTGTTGTGCTGGTGCCTGCAACTTTACCCCTTGCCAAGGCCAGGAAGTTCTGCCATTTTTCCCTAAACACCTATAACTCGGCCCCCTTGTGTAAGGCAG